TTGTACTTTCCCTCCAATATAACCTTGAGTTTTTAAATTGACTCCTTTTTTGTCATAACATTGTCAGGATTAATGTTTACATATTTTTTAGCGTCCCTAATAAATGTTAAATCTATTTTTGTATTCGAATTTAACGGTAAAAACTGAGCTTGGTAAATTCCTGTGTTGCCATAACACGATTTAGTTTTTGCCTATTTTTGTCTGAAAATAACCTTGTGTAGGTACAATTATTTTCTTTTCATTATTTTTGCGTCGTTTTTCGAACAGTTTCGAATTTTTAAGTACTTAGCATAATCGTTTTTATAAGAACTTAAAGAGTAGGTATCTAAATTTAATATCGATACTGTACATATTATAAAGTTGGAGAGTTTGTTTGTTTGTTTGAATGCGCTAATCTCTAAAACTACTAGTTCGAATTGAATAATTATTTTTGTGTCTGTTAGTACATTTATCAAGGAAGGCTTTAGGCTTTAAACATCACTATACAATTTGAAGGAGTCGAGCAGCAAGCGAAGCCGACACAGAAGCTAGTCTACAATAAATACAGGAACACCATGATATGTCAAACGTTATGACTATGAAAGAGAAAGGAGTTGGTGATGTGATGACGTCTGATAAGAGAGAGTGGGAGAGCCATACTTCGGCACGAATGGGTCGGCTCAACCGGAGTGATACCACGTCCTTACAGAGAACCGGCGTGAAAATACCGCAGCGTTTGTTTCGCCGTGTGAGTGAGGTTACCGGATGCCCAATCCTCAACTAACCCCTCCCCAATCACAAAATCACCAAATCCCCAAAAGATCAGCGACGTAATAGTAGCACCGTCGTCGCGGGTGCCCATGGGCGGCGCTGATTGCTTACCATCAGGTAATCCGTCTGATGGTTCGCCGTCCTTTTTTAGAAAAAAAGCATATTGTACCAATCACGGGAATGAAAGAGATAGAAAATTTATGACTCACCTTGACATCCTTCATTACTTTAAATGACATCCTTTTGTTTTTCTGTATAATAGCCGCGTAGTTACTTGCTTTCTGAAACATAATGGATTAAATATAAGTAACTGATTCTTTTTGCTATCTTTTTTATAGTAAAATATTACTACCTACATAGTATAAAACGGATAAGCTTTCTCTGTTCCTATATCCGTATGACATGTATGCTTAAACCTTTAAAACTACGCAACGGATTTTGATGAGGTTTTTAATAGATAGAGTGATTAAAGAGAAGGGTTTGTATATACAGTCAGAGGTCCAAAATGCTATTACACTCTACCAATTTTAAAACGATCAAATATCTTTGTACTTAGAATAGAGTCAATGGTTGAGGGCAGCTTTAATTTATAGCATAGAATCTAAATTATTGAATAAACTGGCTGTGAACTATTGAACTTTTACTACAAAGAAATTTCAGTCATTTTAAAATTGGTAGAGTGTAATTGCATTTTTGGCCCCTCACTGTATACATATAATAGCACCCATTATATAGGTAGCGGAGACATTGGGCATTGAACCAGTGCGAAGCCGGGGCTGGTCGTTATAATTGTGTCAAACGTAATCAATACCGCAAGTACTTATACATATGTTGTTGTGACGGCGAGTAAGGGTAGCTCATCGCCCGACCAGAACCACACCCGAGCGTACGGCGAATTTCGCACCCTCCTTAATTAAAGAGCCAAGACGGGTCCCTACAGGGGTTGATGTTCAGCCGGGGTTGTGGGGTAAGCGCAATGAGGCACCGCGACCTCGGCTCAGAGCAGGAGAAGGAAAGGGGGGGTTGATAGTGAGTAAGAGTCTGACACTCATTTGAACTTCTGAATTCTGAGGAGGAAGTCATTTGGTGGCTTTCCCATGACAAAAAAGTTCTTATATTATTTTTCCATCCACACATTCCATCAGCAAAGAATGCAAAAGCACCGTACCTTCAGTAACCCTTCAGTAATTGTGAGTACACCGTTTTATCTATAAAATCCCCTTTAAATCTAGTTTCTTGGAAAATCACTTGAAAGTAATTCTTATACCTAGATACCTTAACACGCGCGAGTACTCCAAAACGACACACTTCAACAAGTTCTGTCAGTGCAAGTGTGGAACGTTAGACTGACAACATAACAGCCAATCTTCATAGCAAAGTTATCTTTAAGTGCTTAATACTGCTATAAACAAGAATTATATAAAGTCATCAAAATTTATTTGTCTGTCTGTTAGGTTTTTTATGGTATAGGGCAGTAAACTCACATATTCCACTTAATAATAAGCAATAGGCGCTGCCTATGGAAACCTGGATACCAGAGGAGTTATAAATGTATTGCGGGATTTGAGGATTGAGGAGTTGGGGATTTCATAAGGCCTTTGGTGACATCCTCCAAGTAGCGAAACACAAAGCAAGCCAAAAGTCTGCAGTTGGTAAACTCGACTGGCCGCCTGACCAGTGCCAGACCCGAGTGTGCGGTGCGAAGCTTACCGCATGCGCCTTACAGAGCTAATAGAACACCACAGATGGGGCCCAACATAGCCAATGGTTAGCCAGGGTATCTGAAGTAGAAGAAGGACCGGGAGGTGTTTTAGTCAGTAAGAATCTAGCACTCCCTCTCGCCATGCCCTGGTCAAATGAAGTCATTTAATGACGTTCCCTTCACAATTTTGTTTAAACTTATAAACAGAATTAAATATAACAAAGATTTGACTTAATAACAGATGTTTAACAGCGCAGTATTTGTCACTTCCAATTTTCTCTACACAGATGGCGTTGGAAGCGGTTAAGGGATAACATATTTGATAGAGATCGAGTGTCACACTTATCAGAGGTCGCTGCTCTGATAAGTGTGACACTCACGCAGTATGGTAATAAGAGGAGTATATCACTCCAGTTGAGCTGGCCTATTCGTGCCCAAGCACAGCTCCTCCACCCAGAAGTATTATTAACTTATTTTTTTATTTTTAAATAAAAACGTTGCCCCATATTAATATTTCCTCCTGTACCATGAGTGCGTTTACAAACATACAATTTCAAATACACCTCTTAACAATTTGTGGATCACACAAAGAGTTGTTCCGTACGAGAATCGAGCCCGCGGCACGTTGCGCGACAGCAGCAGCAACCGTGCAGTCAAATTTAAACAAAACAGTCAAAGTTATTTAGCAACTAACTTTTACCCGCGACTTTGTTCGCATGGAAAAGTGACTTCCAGCAGATGTTGGCTATAAAAATCCTCCTATATGTATGTCCTTTCTCGAGTTCCAAACCATGTCTGTACAAAATTTCACACGAATAGCTTCAGTAGTTTAGGCGTGAAGAAAAGATCGACAGACAGACAGAGTTACTTTCGCATTTACAATATTAGTTTGGATGGGATGTGTAAGCAAATCGTCGGTGCAAGAGTTAACTAGCAATAAACGTAATGACGATTGTTAAAGTACCTAAGCATTGTAAGACACGTGCATTAGTATTAGTTTGTTTTAATAAAACAATAGTGTTGTAGTCGTAATATCATTTATGAGACTCAATGTAGTTCCCCTCGTTTTTACTTCTATAGATAATAAAAGCAAACTACACTACACTACAGTTGAAGGACAGACATTATTTTACTGTTTTACAATGGTATTTTTTACATAGTATAGTTTCAGTTTAAAAGAGTCACGTTTCAGCACAAATGGGCCGGCTTGAACGGAGTGATTCCACAGCACAGGACACGAGTATGTTTTGCTATGCGAGTGAGGTTAAAGGAGGTCCAATTTATTCAAATTCCTTTTGCACCAATATTCAAATCCCTAAATCAGCATTATTTTTTTTTAAAAAAACGTTTTAGCGCCCCACACTAGGACTTTCTCCTGTGTCGTGGGTGCGGTTACAAACATACAATTTCACATACGCATGACACCCAGACCCGGAACAACAATTTGTGGATCACACAAAGAGTTGTTTCGTGCAGGAATCGAACCTGCGACACGTTGCACGGCAGCCAGTTGCCCAGCCACCGCACCAACCGTGCAGTCAACTGTCATTGCATTTATTTTGCATTGGTTGATCTGTCTGTTCGTTAGCCAATTTTTTTTCTTAAACGTCCGTGACCAACATGAGTCTTCCTGACAAGGGCAGAAATCATTCACATCATCGGATGCCTCCTCTAGTCCAAGGTCGCAGTACCTAATTGCGGTTGCCCCGCAACCCCCAGCTGATGATCACCTTACATTAGGATTTAAAAGAATATGGCAAACCAATCTTATGCATAGCAGGTACAAACTCCAGCAACAGAAGGCCACGGACTTAATTTAAGATGTTTTGTCAAGACCTACTTATACCTAATTGATTATCAGAGAAAAAATATTTCAAATTCTTCACACTTTTTCCTTAAACAAAAACTCAATTGTACTCAAAGAAAAGTCATATAAAAAAACCTAATTTATTTAGTACAATAAAACTGTAATAGACGGCGGTATTGTCCAACGTGATAAAAAAATACTGTCGCCATTTCTTTATTTTGTTGCTCTTACTTTACAATGAAACGCCACAGATTCTATCTAAGTAGGTACGTAAATGCCATACTTCGGCCTCGCAAAAAAACAGGCTAAATCAACGCTTGCTTTGCGTCGCGTGAGTGAGGATATCGTAAGCCCAGTCCTTTCCTTAAACCCGAATCTCCGATTCTACTTTTAATCATGGTCAAATCTCTAAGAACACCCAAAAGAGGGCAACACGCTTAAACTTATTTTGTGAGTGTCCTTTGGGGGCGCCGATTTCTTATATTTAGTATTATAGGTAGGTATTATTTTTAGATATTTTTCGACATCGCAGATTGTAGATCTTTTCTGACCTGGAGATGGAGAAGGATAGTGGTTTTAGTCAGTAAGAGTGTAACACTCCCTGTTGCCAGACCCAAGTCAAAAGAAATCATTTTATCATTCTTTTCACTCATTGGCGGTGGCACGGGCACTGGATCTCCCTATAGTATGGTTGAGTTGTGTGGTGCTGGTGTACGTGTCAAGTTCGTGAACGGGCGCCGCCTATTGGGGCTGGTCATCTCTAGGCTGTCTAAATATGTTGTCCTTGAGGTTAACTTCTTTTTCGGATTCTTTGCCTAAACATAAGTGTTACACTGTTCTCACATATCAAATCCTACTAAATGATGTAACAAAGAAATGAATTGTAAAACTGATTGAAAAAGAGTAACCATGGAGTTTCTTGCTCATCTTCTCGATAGGAATCTACACTTTGGAACGAGCAAATAGCTTCACTAGAGGACAGACGGACAGACTGACACGCCTAAAGTTGAAGCTCTTCAAATACTTTTTTAATTTTTTTTTTGCTTGACGTTCAAAAGTGCCTACTGTTGTCCAATTGAAATAAATAATTTTGACTTTTTGACTATTGACTTTTTTATCATTTCCACCATAAAATAAATTATTTTTTATATGAATGAATATACTATGGTAAGCAATAAAACGAAAACTGCTGAACCAATTATGATTAACTTTGGTGCTGAGATAATAAAAAGCGGTTGAAAATAAGTGGTTTTTAATGATCCATAAACGAACAGAGGTTATTAATTAAACCTGAAATTATTCCAGATTAATCTGGATTCTTGATCGATGTTTCGATGGGTAGAGAAAAACTACAAGGAAACGTAAACGTCTACTGAACGGATTTGAATGTATTTTTGGCACAGCGATAGATTATAGATTTGAATGATGCATAGGCTTCTTTTTACCCTGGTACTGCGGACAACGCCGCTTCATCATCATATGTAACTGAACTTTTTATCACAGTTTTATTATATGTTATATACACAGAAGGAGAAGGAACTATGGGGGTTTTTAGTCAGTAAGAGTCGGACACTCTCTCTCGATTTTCCTCTGACAAAATAATTATGTAGGTATTGACATCATATTTTATAAACTTAAATCGCATATTTCTCTTGGATTGTCTAAAAAGACACTCATACTATGTAATATTTAATAAATCGGCATAATACTTATTTGTATATAATAAATCGGCAAATACCAATATAAACGAAGTTCTAGGTTGAAATAATTTCATTTCGACTGAGGAAACTACCCAATTATTAAAAAAAATAACACCTTAGATACGTAATTGAATCAATGAAAAATTTTCCCCTATCAGATAATTATTATTAGGGCCGAAATTTCCCCAAAACAACAATTAAAAACGAATTAGCGTTTACAAACTGACTGGTAGGTATACTTTGTCTTAAACGACTATTGACATACTAATATGATAATAATACACTCACTCTCACTACAGAAACTCCCGCCTTTGTCCCGCGGTATACAAAACTACACAGCGCCATCTACTGCGTTCCTTGCAAACTTATTTATTGCACATCACATTCGAAGAATGTGTATTTATCAAACGAAACTGTCACCAATGCTAAAATTGTTTTTTTTTTACTTTTGCGAAAATTAATGTCCACTATGTGTATCCACTATAATGGACGTTATTATACATAGATATAAACGTTCATCTTCAATCACTCAATCTACCTATTTTAAAAAAAACGACATCAAAATACATTTCGTAGTTTTAAAGATTTAGATAAACATACATAGGGATAAAGGGACAGAGAAAGCAACATTTTGGCTAGGCATAATGTTAAAAAATATCTAAACTTTATTTATATCTAAATTTTCTCCTATGCCGTAATACACATAGTTTGACATACACATTCTTCCTACTCGACCAAATTTAGCCGGGGTTGCGGGGTAAGCGCAATGTGGTACCGCGACCTCAGCACAGAGCAGGAGAAGGAACAGCGGGGTTTTTAGTCAGTAAGAGTCTGACACTCCCTCCTGCCCAGCCCTGGGCGGGAGAAGTCATTTGATGATTTTCCCCTCACAAAAAAAAAAAACTAGACCAAATTTGAATCCCCGAAATCTAATCTCGTTAACTAACTCGTATGAATAATAATGAGATGTTTAAAAAATAAAAAATAAGTATTGAAAAGGTAATTTTATGATGAGGAAAAATTCATATCAATTCGTACTTATATAGACAAGAAATCCTAACGTTATTCTTTTAGAATAGGTAATCAAATTAATGTTTTACTGATAAGAAGCTTTTCGTTTGAAAGACAGAACAAATATTTGTCAATTTTATAATTTTTTGGTTTACCTAGTGTATTAGATATGTCAGTTCGTTTCATAGTTTTAAATCTTGAGCAAACAAATTTTTAGGCTGAATACGTATAAAAGAATTTTCAAACCGGTCGGGGTAAAAATGTTTTAAACGTGGCAACACTGTTTTGTTTTTAAACGTATTCGACTAAAAGACTTTTTGTATCTGTGGTCATGAATAGAATAAAAAAAAACTCAAATATTTAAAGATGGCGTTTGTTTTTAAAAAGTGTATTTTGTTTTGTTCGTGATGTTTTAGGTTAAAATCAGTACCTATTTACTTTTGAGTTTTGACAGTCGCTGCTGCCAGGTGTGCAGATTATGGCAAATAAGGTGGGTGGACCATGTAAGGCCACTCTAACGAATAAACAGATTTTATTTGTTAATTTATTGGATAAATAAAAGAAAGTAATCATTAATTAACACTTTATTTTATTGAGTATCATAAAAAATACTTATTTTTATTCTAGATGTAATCACTTTTTCTTAAACTTAACTTTTATAAAGCTCTTCTAAACGGCTTTGTAAGGAACAAGGCTCCATACAAGGCCAATATTATAAATCAGTCGTTCAACTTAAAACTAGAATTGAAATAATCAAAATATTCGCTTTTACTAAAACTACAGATAAAGCTCTTTAATTTAAATGAAAAATTAAATGCCTAACATATTATAATTTTCTTTAAAAAATTCAACAAACATTCCTTGAACATCATCGTATAACTAAGAATATATTTATGGAAATTAAATAAAAATTATAGTGGTGAGTATTATATCGATAACAAATAAGTTTCCAATGCGTTTTACAATAAAATAATTAATATTTTTTTAAACCCGTAATGGCCTTCTTATGGGTCCGTTCTTTGTAAGGCCAAAATGTTCTTAAGAAGGCCAAACTAACAATTATCATCTTATGAGATACTTTTTTATATTTAATGAAATACCTGATAGACAGTAGGTAAAGACTATGTTCTCTAATTATAAAGAAAGTATAAATGGCACATAATCAGGCTTGTAGTCAAAATATTTCAACTCAACCATACCTAAAATTAAAAAACGAAAATATAAGAAAGTAATAACTAAAATTCGGAATCAAACTTATCAACTAAAAAGAGTAACTACTTTGGGTATTTTAATCACAATCTGAGCATAAAAATGCGAGATCTTTTTTAGTGAGACCAACACACTCCTCGTGATACCACTTTTGACATTCGCTGCATTGACTTATGACTTCGATTCTACACTCGCCACATGCGTGGCAGTACCATTCCTTTTCTTCACCTTCTGCACCTCTCTTATCTATTAATCTTTTGCTTCCTGTTTTCTTTTGTTTTGTATTGCTTCCATGGCACGTCTTAAACTATCTTCATCCCATGTACTACCCCTTTTTCTAGGTTTTGATCCTGACATTCTTGTAATCTGAAATAATGCGTGTAAAATTTAAACAACTGTTCAAGTATCTACTTATTCTTATAGCGACATTTACAGACATGACCATCTCATAAAGGAAATTTAAAGATATAACTGTAATAGAATAATTTTAAAGAAATAACTATTCAGTCTAAATTATAAAGTTGAATAATCCTTATAAATAACAAAATTATAATAATTGAACATTGCTTCAACTTCCCCGTAACGTATTATTATAATAAGTAAAAACTAAGTGTTCAAATTTTATTAGTAAATGTTCCTGGTAAGGCCCGTGTACCCTAGCAAGGCCAACCGTCAAATTTTTGATTGGCCTTATAAGGAACCACCGGCTTTCATAGGAACACTATTGATATTTTAACTAAAATCAAACAAAATTGTTATATTTTTTCTTTAGTACCACAAACAATCCTAATATAACAACTTACAGTAAAAATAATACGATAATAATAGGTTATTTACATAAAAACTCACCTTTAGTTGAGCGCGCGAATTACAATTTTGATGTCGACGTCCGAAGTCTACAAAGCGAGAGACCGCACTGGCAAAATAGAAACGCGAGCGACTCGCCGCCGCGTCTGTGACTTTGAGTTTGATGGAACTTCGTGTGAGTGGAAGGAATTTGTCATCACGTGACTATAAATATGAGTTTTTTATAATCGGCCTTCAAAGGAGCATGGCCTTCCATGGTCCACCCACCTTATTTTTATTAGTCTTATTAAGATGACAATATATTTAATACCTATATAAATTTTCGTTACTATAACTTGTCGGGAATTGTTGAAACAATCATACTTCTTATTTATAATGTTAATAAAACAAATGAGTTTTGGCGCGATATGATACGCTAAGACGCGGTGATGTATTTCCATCTATAAGCTTTTTTTTGTCAGGGGAAAATCATCAAATGACTTCTCCCGCCCAGGGTAGGTAAGGCGAGAGACAGTACTCTTACTGACTAAAAACCCCGCCGTTCCTCTCTGGGCCGAGGTCGCGGTGCCTCATTGCGCTTACCCCGCAACCCCGGCTGAACATTAGCCCTATAGGGCCCCATCTGTGGTGGTCTATTGGCTCTTTGAGGCGCGCGCGGATTTTACAAAACATATATATGTATAATTGCCTACTTAAAAAAATTAGAAATTATCAGCATGTAAATAGGTATACATTGTAAGTACCTACGCTTTTCTTATCACGCGTATTAAGTATTTAGGTAATTTATTATATTTTAAGACTCTAAAAAACCCGAGCTACCTGTCTTGTAAACTATATAAAGCATAATATTTTAAGTTAATACGCAGGTAAGTATATAAACGTTGATAAGTACCTACCTACCTATTTAAACTGTGCTTTGGGAAAACCAGTATTAACTGACTGTTAGATGTTGGGAAACATGATACAAACCTAGATCATCATAAAACTGGTTTTTATAGCTTAGTTTTATAGCCTTTACTTATGGTTAATTAAATAAAAATGCGTAATTAGGTATTAAGTGCGTAAATGGGCACTTTTACACGTCAAATTATATGTAAAAAAACTAGATGAAGCCGGCATTTCCTATCTGACTACTCTGAGAAGAAATGCCGAAACAAACTCAGAGGTCAGTCTCTTTTCAAATACAGACAATGTAAAAATAATATAATGTGTGAGAGCCGTGCATTTTCATTCAGTAGAGGTCTTTTGAGGAAAGAACCACAGTGGGCCCGTTCCAAAGAAAGGCACGCAAGGTACTGCTGAGTTGTCCGACGAACTATTGTTCGTCCGATTAAAAGAATATTTGGGTCGCGCAAGTACTCACAATCATCTACACTACTATCTATGCTAATATTATAAAGAGGTAAAGTTTGTATGTTTGTATGTAGGGGGTAATCTTTGGAACCGCTGGTCGGATTGCCAGAATTCGTTCACTGATAGATAGCTACAATGTTCCTGAGTGCTATAGGCTACAAAACACACATCACACTCCGATCAAATGGAGGTGAGCAGCGGGTAAAACCGCTTGAGAGTAGCTAGTATAGTATAAAAAACATCGCTTCCTCTGCCCATATATCTCTATGTATGCTTTAATCTTTTAAACTACTTATTAAGTGTGGGAGAGCCATGCTAAGTGTGGGAGAGCCATGCTTCGGCACGAATGGGTCGGCTTGGCCGGAGTGATACCACGGCCTCACAGAAAACCGGCGTGAAACAACCACAACGTTGTGTTTCGCCGTGTGAGTGAGGTTACCGGAAGCCCAATCCTTCCCCTACCCCAATCCCTTCCCAGTCCCAAAATCCCCAAAATCCCAATCCTTAAATGGTCGGCAACGCACTGGTAACTCCTTCTTTGTTGCGGGTGTCCATGGGCGACGCCGATTGCTTACCATCAGGTAATCCGTCTGCTCGTTTGCCGTCCTATCACATAAAAAAAAAACTACGCAACGGATTTTGATGCGGTTGTTTTTTTGTAGATAGAGTGATTAAAGAGGAAGATTTGCATGTAATTATAATAATATCCATTAAATAGTGAAGAAAATTTGTGTCAGCTTTCCCCCATGCGAAGCCGGGGCGGGTCGCTAGTAACATGATGTTTTTTTATGTGATAGAGCGACAAACGAACAGACGAAATACGTGATAGTCAGCGATTAGCGCCGCCTGTAGAACATCGAGAAGTTACAAATGCGTGGCGGGCCTTTTGGAGGGGGGACAGATTATTATACCACCTGACCACAACCAGAACAGAGGCCGCCCGACCAGAACAAGACTCGAGCATACGGCGCATTGCGTTAAGCGGGCGCCTCAAAGAGCCAATAGACCACCACAGACGGGGCCCTATAGGGCTGTTGTTCAGCCGGGGTTGCGGGGTAAGCGCAATGAGGCACCGCGGCCTCGGCCCAGAGCAGGAGAAGGAATGGGGGGTTTTTAGTCAGTAAATATCTGATACTCTCGCCTCACCTTGAGCGAAAGAAGTCTTTTGATGATTTTCCCGTCACAAAAAAAGGGGGGGGGGATTATTATTACGCTTTTAATTCCTCCATGGGACAATTAGAGGCATATTTGGAGCACATATACTTTTCACATATTTAATAAGTACTTGAGAACTACTTACTTACGTAAATACCGATTTACTCGCGTCACAGCGACACTGCACTGCGCAGCCGCCGCCGCTGCTCATGAATAAGAGTCCCGCTGTGACTTGAAACTAGTCGAGATTTTCAAAAGAATGTGGTTAATTAATCAACAATTACCTGTTTACTGTTTTATGTGTTTGTGTGCATATCTACATAAGACATTGTAAAAAAAAATGCCTAATTAATGACGGAATGGTTATAAAATGCGTATGTAATCAACGATTTATGCGTATATTAGTTTATTTTGGTTTAACTTACATTTTCATTGCGTTCAAGATCCAAATGATTGTTGAACAGATAAAAGTAAGTGTGTTTTATAATGTATCATTTGACTATCGTGAGCCTTGTCAAATATTGAACGCAATTAGGTGTGAGAGAGCCATGCTTTGGCACTAATTGGTCGGCTTGACCGAAGTGATAGCACGGCCTTGCAGAAAACCGGCGTGAAACAACCACAGCGTTGTGTTTTGCTGTGTGAGTGAGGTTACCGAAAGCCCAATCCTTCCCCTCCCCCAATCCCTCCTCAATCCCTAATCCCTAAAAGGTCGGCAACGCACTCGTAACTCCTCCGTTGCGAGTGTCCATGGGCGGCGCTGATTGTTTACCATCAGGTAATCCGTCTGCTCGTTTGCCGACCTATTACATAAAAAAAATAAAAAAAAAATGAACGCAATTAGGTGTGGGAGAGCCAAGCTTCAGCATTTCCATTTAATCGTAGCGTGATGTTTTATAGCCTATAGCACTCAGGAACATTGTAGCTATCTATCAGTGAAAGAATTTTGGCAATCCGACCAGCGGTTCCAAAGATTACACCCTACATACAAACTTACAATTTTTACCTCTTTATAATATTAGTATAGATTTAATGTATGTTATTATACATTAAATCTATACTAATATTATAAATTACCACTCTACTTATCTACAAAAACCGCATCAAAATCCGCTGCGTAGTTTTAAGATTTAAGCGTACATAGGGATATAGGGACAGAGAAAGCGACTTTGTTTTATACTATGTAGTGAGAATCTATTACTTACCCTAGAACCAGAGATTTCGAATAGATAGTTTATGTTTTCAGTCGCAAATAGAGTGGTACATACCCTGTACTCTTTTTGTCTCTTTTCCAAGATGTCCAATTGTTTTTCCATAGCAGACAGTCTTATTTTGAAGTTGTTGTCGATACATTTACAAGAATTAAGCGATTCCCCAAATATTCGCATCTTGCGCCTAAATTCTTCATAATCATTGTGCAATCTGAAATAGTTTTGGTTAGGCATAGTTATATGTATATGATACTAGCTTTTGCACGCGACTCCGTTCGCGTGGGATAGTTGCAGTTTTTTGGTATAAAAGCTATCCTATGTCCTTTCTCGAGTTCCAAACTATGTCTGTACTAAATTTCAAAGAAATCGGTTCTGCAGTTTAGGCGTAAAGAAAAGAAAAGACAGACAGGCAGACAGACACTTTCGCATTTATAATATCTTTATTTATTTATTTTATAATATTAGATATATGTATATGATATCTAGTACATCGATCTAGGTTTTTTTTAAAGAAATTGTATCATCATCATCAGCCTATAAGTGCTCATTGCTGAGTTGTCTTGTGAACTAACAGAACGCACTTTTCATAGGATAAGTCGGCAAACGAGCAGATGGATTACTTGATGGTAAGTAATTGGCGCCGCCCTGTGCTTTGCCGCCCTTTTGGGGATAAGGGTTGCGGATATTTAAGTATCGGGAAGGGATAGGGGAGAAGGAAGGACTTTTTTTTTGTGAGGGGAAAATCGCCCAGGGTCAAGCGGGAGGAAGTGTCAGACTCTTACTGACTAAAACCTCCCGTTCCTTCTCCCGCCCTGGGCCGTGGCTTATTGCGCTTACCCCGCAATCCCGGCTGAACATCAACCCTATAGGGTCCCGTCTGTGGTGGTCTATTGGCTCTTTGAGGCGCGCGCGGAACGCTACGCGCCGTAATCTCGTGTCTAGTTCTGATCGGGCCACGAGCTACCTACCCTCCCTCGCCGACCGCAGACCCGAGCTTACGGTGGTCCGGCGCCCATAGGAGATGGTAACTAACATTGTAACACGAGAATGTTATACATAAAAAACTAGCTTTTGCCCGCGACTTTGTTCGCGTGGCGACCTTTTGTTGATTTTTAGTGAAAAACTATACTACCTATGTCCTTTCTCGAGTTCGAAACTATATCTGTATCTTCATAAAAATAGGTTTTGTAGTTTAGGCGTGAAGAAGAGACAGACAGACAGAGCTACTTTCGCATTTATAATATTAGTTTGTATGGTAAGACTAACTTGGAAATACAGGATGTCAAAGAAGGGCAAGCCAAAGCAGGCGTCTCTTCACTAGCAACCACGCGACCAGTACTTTTCTGCTCATTTAGACTCGGACGGACGTGTTCTTGAGGAACCGTATGATATCGTAAGTTCATTTGATCCCCACTGCTCTCCGATGAAGATTCCTGTACTCTGATGCTTATAACTGCTCTATTTTTCCTTTTTTCTCGTAATATATTATTATATTTCTTTTTGCCTTTCAAAAACTCGCTTAAGGATTTTTTGGACATATTTTTTGGGTACTGTGTCGATTGTAATCGTACTTTTTTTTCTTCTTGAAACTGTTTTTGGTAAAACGATTTTTTTAAAACAGGTAATCTCGAGTCTCGTCTCGCGTTTTCCTTGGCATCGAAATGTATGGTCGGTTTGAAGTGTGCTTTTGGATTTTTTGTCAGTTTTGGTATGTTATTGTTGTTGTTTACTTGTCATTTTTGATTTATGAAGTGGAGAGATTGATAGATGTGTGATAGGTTCTACCAAGCATCTGCGACATTTTTGTTACTTATATGCTACAAAGAATTTTCCTTGGATAATATATAAATAAAGTAATAAAATTAAAAATATATTTAGTCGCTATATCAGTGTATGCCGTCTCTATGTTAATGCATATCTCATCCATGTAAAAGATTGTTTTAAATTTATCCAGTTACGCCATCTCTTGACCATGTTGTTAAAACCAAACGTCTAACTTTTGACATAGTGGTATTGCTACTTGACACTAGATGGCGCTATAATGTTTGATACCGCTACTAAACGAAAGATGTCTCTGATTCTTTTGGTTCTATTTCTATATAAGAGATGGCGTTAATAGCTCAGGTAAGAGCTATTATGTATTTGTTTTTGTCTTCAATATTTTAAGAATGATTATTTTACTAATATTATTGGTTAGATACCTAAGTCGTTAAAAATATTGAAATTAATATGATTTATAGTTATTTGATTTCCATATATCTAATTAAGTAAAATTATTTTTGTATCTTCAAATTTTTACCTAAAGTTACGTACTAATCGAATTTTTTATAATATTATAAACGCGAAAGTCTTTAAGTTTGGATGGATATTTGTTACTTTTAGACATTTAAATTTGGTACTGAGGGAACTGAGTGTAATTTCTCAAAATCCCTAATCCCGAAAAGATTGGCAACGCACTCGTAACTCCTTTGGTGTAATAAGTGTTCATGGGTGGCGCTGATTGCCAACCTATTACATTAAAAAAATTTGGAGAAAATAAAATATATTTTAGGACAAGCTAGGTGTCGAATCGCTGTTGGTATTTTTTTAACCATTGCCCCATATTACGATTTTCTCCTGTGGTGTTTTTTTTTTTTGCAATAAACTAGTGCTTGACTGCGATCCCACCTGATGGTAAGCAGTGATGCAATCGTTGATGGTAAGACGCACTAGTTTATTAAGAGCCTATTCACTCTAGCCTTGAAGACACCTAAATATTCGGACGTAAAGACAGCAGCCGGCAAACTGTTCCAATCCCTCGATGTACGCGGTATAAATGACGAGTATTTTATTTTATTTTAACACTTTACGTAAAGAAATATAAAGGCGGACTCAATGCCCAAACTCATTCTCTACCAGTCAACCGCAAGGGTGATGCAGAGAAGTGTTAATAATAGGTACTAAATAAGTAGTTATACAACATATACATACATACAATACAAAAACATATATCTATCAATATAATAAATATAATCTACGAAAACATTAACATATACCTATAGTATATTAATAATACACAAATAATAATAAAATAAAACAACAATCCACTAATGAGTTGAATCTGACAATTTCTCTAGCAAGTAAGTATTTGTGAAGGAAAGCCGACTGGTTGCCGTCCTGATATCCGTGGGCAACGCATTCCATAGCAAAATTGATTGGATCAGGATCGAAGAATGTATAAAGTCAGTCCGGTGTGAGGGACAGTGGAGGAGACAATTATTTGTGGATCGAAGATATTTGCTGTGGTACGCTTACATACTGAAAATAGGGGGCTAAATAACTAGGAGAAGTAGGGGAATGAAGAAGAGAGATTTTTTTTTTATGTAATAGCTCGGCAAACGAGCAGACGGATTACCTGATGGTAAGCAATCAGCGCCGCCCATTGACACCCGCAACGGAGGATTTACGAGTGCGTTGCCGACCTTTTAGGGATTAGGGATTTGGAGATTTAGGGATTTAGGAGGGATTGGGGGCGGGGAAGGATTGGGCCTCCGGTAACCTCACTCACACGGCGAATAACAACGCTGTGGTTGTTTCACGCCGGTCTTCTGTGAGGCCGTGGTATCACTCCGGTCGAGCCGACCCATTCGTGCCGAAGCATGGCTCTCCCACACTTAAAAATAAATAAAGTTACAAAGGTATTTTAGAAATTTGTCTTTTTGTCAAGAAGAATCCGCAATTGTTCCCTCTTCAGTCAAGTGTATCTCAACGTAATAGACGTAAATATGATAGAGTTTGTTTACACAACGCCAAAACTACCCTCACGTGGAGAAGTATATTCTGTATGGCTCCTAAAATTTATAACAAAGTACCAGATGCATATAAACAAATAAATATTAACCAATTTAAAAAGAAAATTAAGGAACTTTTATGTAGAAGAGCTTATTATAGAGTAGACGATTTCCTGAAAGACGATACATATATTTAGAATTTAGGTAACCAGTTGACATTTAGACTGTTCGACATGTTATTCTTTGATTTATGATTTTATTTGTTACTAGCTGACCCGGCGAACTTTGTTCCGCCTTAATGGCAATAAATAAGCAGTTTTTTTTTATTTAATCGAAAAAATACAAAAAAAAAATAAATAAATAACTACATTAATCATTCATTATTATTTCTGTATTGCACCTTGTGATACACGACATTTTTTGTTTTATTATCAGGCGCAAAAACAAACAACGCAGATGGTCTTCCGACCCGTGAACATGCCACGTATAATTGACCATGGGAAAAACATGAATGTTCTAGATTTAAACCACAAACTTTTAAGGATTGGCCTTGTGATTTGTTGATTGTCATGGCAAATGCAAGTCGTATCGGAAATTGAAGTCTTTTAAATTCAAACAGCATATCGGTTGGGATCATCGGGATCCTCGGAATGAGAACTTCCTCACCTTTGAATTTTCCTATCATTATCGTAGCGTAAATTACATTGTTCATCAATTTACTAACTACCAAACGCGTACCGTTGCACAGTTTTGGTTGGTTTATGTTTCGAAGCATGATTACTACGGAGCCAACCTTTAGGCTTAAATTGTGCGGTGGTAAGCCAGGCACGTCCAAAGAGTTTAAAAATTCAATTGGATAGTTTGGTGGCTTCATCTTCATTTGTGACGCAGTCAATAGATATTTTCTATTCCGTGGTTCCAATAATCTTATTTTGAATTATGTAGTTCAGGTCATCTACATCTTTATTTAGCCGCTAAAATTGCTCGCTCACTCAACCATTCATTATTTTTGTAGTTAGAAATAATATTTTGAAATACATTGTTGATAAGTTCGTCTTTTGATGAGACAAAATTACAGAAATTATTTGGAAATGATATTAATCCGCTCGATTCATCAACAGGTACTTGACCATTACCGATAGTCAGCAATTGCTCCGAGAAATCTTCAGCAGATGTATCATTAAGCAATGTAACTCTCATGTTTGTTGTCAGCTGCAGTTTCTTCACATAGCACCATAGATTTGACGATTTGAGGCAAGCGTTTATTTCGTCGGCAGCCGTAGATCTTGGAATTACTGGCAGTATTTGGCGGACATAAATCTCCAGACAGTAAAATCATTGCTCCTCCAAAACATCTCGAGTCATTGCGTAAATCTTTTAATGTTCGGTTAAGTGCTTCTAATGCACGTTTATGCGCCATTGTGCATTCGTCCCAGATGATGATTTTCGATGTCGCTAAAACTTTGGTCATTGCTTAGTGTTTTGCAATATTACACGTTGGTTCTTCAATAGTTTGAAGATTTAACGGTAATTTGAATGCTGAATGAGCCGTACGGCATCCTTCTAACAATGTGGCTGCTATTCCAGAACAAGCAACTGCAACCGCTATGTTGGATCTCGCCCGAACAGTTGCTAAAACTAATGACATAAGGAATGTCTTGCCAGTTCCACCAGGGGCATCTAGGAAATATAAACCACCATTTTCATCAGCGATTGCCTTCATTAAAGTACCTATCATAAACTTCCTTTTGTTGGTAATTCAACAAGGGTTCATTCCTTTGAACTACTAAATCTAATTCCTGGTGATCATATTCACGTTCCCGTTCCAATTCTCGATTAAATGCGTCATTCATTTCACGATTTGGCGCTGGCATTCCTAACCTGATTAATAAATTACCGCACATGAGGTAACACATATCTTCGATCAAGAGTAAAGCACGATTATGTATCTCCTCATTCATCTCAATATCGTGATTTCTGGAACTGACACGACTTTGATGTAAAATATCTTCTGACATACTATCCTTGTATTTGTGCCACAGGTTACATGGGTTTGATGGAAAACATTAAAACATTAAAAATGTCGTGGTAGCCTGGAGGTTAAGGAGGCCGCTTCTTGTGCATGAGGGTGTGGGTTCGAAACCTGGCAAGTACCAATGTGACTTTTTCCGAGTTATATGTACTTTCTATGATTATTTAGACACCACTGACATACGGTGAAGGTAAACACCGTGAGGAAACCTGGACTTATAATTTCTAATTGTAAGTTTGAAATCGCCAACCCGCATTGAGCAGGCGTGGTGATTAATGCTCAAACCTTCTCCGTGTGAGAAGAGGCCTTTGCTCAGCAGTGGGCACTTAAAGGCTGATGATGATGGAAAACATGTCGAAATTATGATAGCGAATAATGTGCGTATCTGACTTGGAGATGCAGAGATAATGGCTTCAGCGATTGTCGTATCCCAATGGGTATCGTTTTCTAATAATTTCAATTCTTCACATGCAGCACGATATGTTGGGAATATTACACCATTAACAGTCCGTAGTGTCTCAAATGAAGTTGGCCCACGCACATTTACCAGCAACAACCGCAAATAGAAACATTCATTATTCTTTGGATGAACTGTATACATACGACCGAGAGCATCAGTAAAACGCACATCTGGATACCCAGGAACCGCATCACCTTGCTTCCGTCTTTGAAAACTCTTGGAAGAAGCATTCCAAGTATAATAACGTGGCATCTCCGAGTAAAGCAAAGTTCGTGCAAACTGATCGCTTTGGCAGATTGCAAAAAAAACTGGTCAATGTAGTTGCTGGAGGTTTTTCAGCACGTTGCGTAGCATTCGAAGCCGTGAAACATACTCGTTGACCATTCTCCAGATGCACCGCCAAATGTATAACAGTAGGATGACGTTCGTGAATGGGAAATGCGAATTTACGCCAAATCGCTTCATTACTACATTTCATTTCAGTGACTAATTTAGTACGCCATAAATGGCAAAACATTTAGACTCTATACATATATACCAAAAACACCTTCATTGTAATTACTCATGTTTTACTAAATAAATATATCTTATCTTATCTTATCTTAAAGTGGTTAGCGCGCGTTGTTCCCTGCGCTGTTTGAGTAACTACTTTAGTTGCAATCGATATGCAGAGACATGGTCATATTTGTGCAGGTTGAAAACGAATCGAATGCAGTTATTCAAGATGATCCAGGTGTTGTGGGTGCGTTTACAAACATACAAATTCTGTACCACTATCGTCTTAAAGACTTCCTCGCGCAGAAAACGAAAGGTCAATCAAATCATCACCTTTCGCAACATATTTGCAATTATGAATCTGTGGATACTAATATTTTTAACCTGAGGAGTTAGTTTGTTTGAAGCCATGGAGTTGCTTGCTCGTTCTTCTCCATTGGATATTTTAGTATTTTATACTAGCTACTCTCGCGCGGTACTCTCCATTTAATCGTAGCGTGATGTTTTATAGCCTATAACACTCAGGAACATTGTAGCTAACTATCAGTGAAAGAATTTTGGAAATCCGACCAGCGGTTCCAAAGAAAACCCCCTACATATAAACTTACAAAATTTACCATATTAATATTCTATATTAATATGAATATTCTATATTAATATGGTAAATTTTGTGTTATTGTAATTATGTTATCATCTATGATAACATCCATTAAATAGTGGAGACATTTAGAACCAGCCTTGCACTCGTGTGAAATCGGAGGCCGTCCCGAAGATAAGGCGCTCGCTTGTCATCTATACTAATATTATAAAGAGGTAAAATTTGTAAGTTTGTATGTAGGGGGTAATCTTTGGAACCGCTGGTCGGATTGCCAAAATTCTTTCACTGATAGATAGCTACAATGTTCCTGAGTGCTATAGGCTATAAAACATTACGCTACGATCAAATGGAGCAGCGGGTGAAACCGCGCACGAGTAGCTAGTGTATTATAAGTAATTGTATTAGGGTGAGGCGCTGAAACCTGGCAAGTACCAATGTAACTTTTTCCAAGTTATATGTACTTTCTATGATTATTTAGACACCACTGACATACGGTGAAGGTAAACATCGTGAGGAAACCTGGACTTATAATTTCTAATTATAAGTTTGAAATCGCCAATCCGCGTTGAGCAAGCGTGGTGATTAACGCTCAAACTTTCTCCGTGTGAGAAGAGGCCTTTGCTCAGCAGTGGGCACTTATAGGCTTATGATGATGATGGTAATAAAACAATATAATGTTATTTTGTAAAATCCATTTATTTCAATTATTTAAATCTTATTTTGTAGACAATAATAAGAAAGAAATGTTTAATTATAATACATATTTATTATAAGTTAGCTGACTGGATATTTACTAATCGGCTATTTGTCATACTTTAGATAAAAAAATACTTATTTTAATTGTTCTTTTACCTCACTGGTTTTAATATTAAATTTTATAATGTATTTTTTTTTTGTTTTAAATTTAAAGTTTAGATACATTTTGTAAAATGTATTTTTTTAAGATTAAAATCAGTGAGTTTATGTTTTGTTTTTTACGACTAAATACCAATGTCATTAGATAGTCGACCATTTTGGCCAATATTTATCATCCAATATGGTCAAATTTCTAATTTTTTCATTTTACTTTTACTTAAAAAAACATAAAAAAAGATTATTAATGTAGGTACTATACTTAGTTATAAAATAATGTTTATTAAAAATAAAAAGCTGGGACGGATGCGAATAAAAATTAATATTTTAAAAATTACGCAAAAATATTGGCAGTTTTAAAAATTAACAAAAAAAGAATTTAAAGCCCTTTTCAAAAGAAATGATAGATACATAAAAATATATATAAAAAAATACGTAAATAATACTAGGTATTCGTGAAAAAAAATTAAATATAGATAACCTACCTATTTACAGATCTTTATAATATTTATAAATAAAAAAAGAATAATATTAGTTATAAAAAAAAAACAGAATCAGAATATTTTCGCTCGCAGTATCCTTGTATAAAAAAACACAACAATTGTAAAAAAAACAAACTAATTTTGACCAGAACAGTGGTAACATCGCTTCTAGGAACTGGAGTATTATAACATTTTTTGTACTGTACTCAAGTTATTTAATTACAAATATACCAAAGTCATTAAAGTTTATTACAAAAAAAAAAACATAAAATAAAAATAATGAATAAAAAAATTTTTATGGCACATAGTCCACTCCAAAGCAATAAGTTACCAATTTTTTTCGTTTTTATCAATTAGAAGTTGTTTTTTTATTTTCCTTCGATGCACTTGCACTTGGCGTCGTGAACGTGGCCGGCGCCAACAATCTCAGAGAATGATGGGTTGAAGGATACACTTGGGGCTACCACTTGTTGGTTGGTCTGACTTCCAGATGTCTGATAATCGAATCTGATGATTTGAGGCTTTGTCGTGTATGTGACAATCTTAGGCTTTGTAGTGTAAGTAATAATCTCCGGCTTTGTCGTGTATGTCACAATTTCGGGTTTTGTCGTATATGTCACAATTTCGGGCTTAGTGGTGTAAGTCACGTATTTGGGTTTCGTTGTGTAAGTAAAGTATTCCGGTTTCGTCGTGAATGTCACAATTTCAGGTTTCGTCGTGTATGTCACAATTTCGGGTTTGGTTGTGTAGCTGATGATTTCTGGTTTTGTCGTGTAGGTTACGAATTTAGGTTCGGATTGGAAGAATTTCTTTTCAGTGAAACTTGTGCTGAAAGTCTTTTGGACGGGTCCCTTGATTTCGGCTGAGAATTCTCCGGAGCCAGTGCCGAAGTTGGCTGATCCGAATTGAGAGAATTCTCCGGATTGGCCTTGGCCGGCGATACCGAAGCCCTTAATGCCTAGTCCGCTTCCAGCGACGGCTGTAGCTCCTGAGGAGACTGTGCCCTTGACGCCAACTCCTGATGTACCCTTGACACCGAATCCAGTAGTACCTTTAATACCAGTTCCATAGGTGGTCTTGACTCCAGAACCTTGGGTGATGATTTTGTTCTTGGTGACCTTGACGACGGTGTACTTCTCGAATCTGACGCTCTCGATGAGACCGATGGCCCATTCGTACCATTCGAGGTCGAATTTGTAGAATGAGGCGAGTTGGTTGCCGGTTTGACATCCTGGAATAGAGAATGGGGATTTAGAAGTGGTGTAAACAGTCTGGTGATTATAGAATGTGGTTATTGTTCTTAGATCATCTCATGTCGGTTGAAAATCGGATTACGAATTTGAGTCCAAGATTCATTCTTAAAAAATATTTTTTGAATGAATCGGTTCAAATACAGGATTCTCTAGTTTAGGCACCATTCTCAACTTATTATAGCTTTAAGTAAAAGTGTATCTTTTAGATTAAAACTTTATGAATAAATTTTCTGTTTTACTTTCCAGTCCCTAATCTCGGAAACCCTAATCCCAAAAGTCCTGGTAACATAACGCGCTCGTAACGTCTCTAGCGTTGCAGGTGTCCATGGGCGGCGCCGATTGCTTACCATCAGGTAATCCGTCCGTTCGTTAGCCACCCTACAAAGGACAAAGTCTCTGATAGTTCTCAGAGAAACGGATACATCCAACAATGAGCTGCAATCTTGAGACGAAATAGAAAACACATTGTGTCTCGCGTAGATCTGCGTTCCGTGCCAATACCAGGTAATTTGAAAAGATTAAAAAGATGTCGATGATAAATGCTTACCAGAATCCCAGGAGTAGATTCCTCTGAGGACAAAGTGGTTGTCGCCAGTCGTGCAAGCGAGGGCGCTTCCGATGTCAACCTGGAATTTAAAGGCGAAGTTAATAAATGTGACAGAGCCAAGCTTCGGCACGAATGGGTCGGCTCGACCGGAGTGATACCACGGCCTCACAGAAAACCGGCGTGAAACAACCACAACGTTGTGTTTCGGCGTGTGAGTGAGGTTACTGGAGGCCCAATCCTTCCCCTACCCCAATCCCTTCCCAGTCCCAAAATCCCCAAAATCCCAATCCTTAAAATGTCGGCAACGCACTCGTAACTCCTTCCTTGTTGCGGGTGTCCATGGGCGACGCCAATTGCTTACCATCAGGTAATCCGCCTGCTCGTTTGCCGTCCTATCTCATAAAAAAAAAGTTAGCAAGTCCGCTGTTGGACCATGGTTTACATAAGAGTCGTTTTGATCAATCCTTTATGCTTTTTTTGTCATGGGAAATTCATCAAATGACTTTTTTGGACGATTTGAAACTTATAATTAGAAATTATAAGTTTAGTCCAGGTTTTCTCACGATGTTTACCTTCACCGTATGTCAGTGGTGTCTAAATAATCATAGAAAGTACATATAATTCGGAAAAAGTCAAAAGTTCTTTATGGGTATGTTACACCCACGTGAAGAGTAGGGTAACTAAATTGTATTCCATGCTTACCTTGCAGATATTGTTAGCAGGGTTGGTAGGCTGTCCACAGACGCAGCTTTCCTGGTCGTAGTGTTCCAATAGATGAGGATAGTCCTGGGTGATCTTGGATTCACATTCTCCAGGGTTCAGGAGGGATACGTTCATGCTGTGCATAATGCTGCCGAGGAGATGAGCTGGGAACAAGAGAAAGAGATTTTGAGTAAGAGTGTATTTTTCAAAGATAGCCTCACTACTGAGGGATTGCGGATCGGTGGAGAGTAAGGGTAGCTCACTGCCCAACCAGAACCAGACCTTAGCGCTTAGCTTTCCGCGCGACTTCCTGCAGACTTTTGGTATAAATACCTATGTTCTTCGAACTTCTATCGAGTTCCAAACTGTGTCTGCACCAAATTTCATAGAAATCGGTACAGTAGTTTAGGCGTGAAGTAAAGACAGACAAAGTTACTTTCGCATTTTTATTTTATATTATATTTATAATAACTCTTTGTGTGATCCACAAATTGTTGTTCCGGGTCTGGGTGTGATGTGTATGTGAAATTCTATGTTTGTAAACGCACCCACGACACAGGAGAAAATCCTAGTGTAGGGCAACGTTTTTATAAAAAAGAAAATACTTAGAAATGTTTGCTAAGATGAAATAGACAGTCTTGAATGAAGCTACGTGCTTAAGCTTAGTTTAGGATAAGCTTGACAAAAAATTACGAAATATTTTATTTGCAATCGTTAGCAATTTTAATAATAAACTAATCAATTTTCTCGTGTTTGTTTAGCAGTTCAATGCAAAACTCACAAGGTTAATTATTATATTTCTAAAATTATTTTATTTGTTAATAGGTGCCTATTGATTATTCATGATTGGAACCCGACTTTGTTATTAAGAGGTTGTAGTGTTATTTTAAGCTTCGACCTTTGTCGTTTTGGCGTGATTCATTGCACATATTTTTTAACGTTAAATAATAAACGAAATAAATAAAAAACTTGCTCTACACTAGGAATTTTCTCCTGTGTTTTAAGGTGCGTTTCACAGATATCATCATCAGCCTATAAGTGCCCACTGCTCAGCAAAGGCCTCTTCTCACACGGAGAAGGCTTGAGCATTAAGGCTGGTTAGCGATTTCAAACTTATAATTGGAAATTATAAGTTCAGGTTTCCTCACGATGTTTGAAACAATAAATTTATTTTTGCAAATAGGCCATAAAACGGCAATTTTACACGTCAAAATTATATATAAAAAACTAGATGAAGCCGGCATTTCCTATCTGACTATTTTGAAAAGAAATGCCGAAACAAATTCAGAGGTCAGTCTCTTTTAAAGAACAGACAATATAAAAAAATATATAATGTGTGAGAACCGTGCAAGTTCATTCTGTAGTGGTATTTTGAGGAAAGAACCACACCAGCTTAAGTGGACCCGTTCTGAAGACTGGCACGTTTTCCTTCGCCGTATGTCAGTGGTATTTAAATAATCTTAGAAAGTACATAAAAACTCGGAATTACTTACGTATTTATAAAATGTATGTTAAAAATATTTATTAATATTTTTTTACACAATAATATTAAAAATATTAAATTATGTATGTATTAACTACTATGTATAAATTAATTATATTTATTAGCAATATGCATAAAATCAATATTGTAAATTATTGACGTATTTTTTATGTACATGTCGATTGCTCAAGGCGATTCGTAAAATTTATTATCGATAATGATTTATTACTTGTAAATATATTTCATTAATTCAATTTTTTTGTCATTTATATAGATTAGGTAGCACAATTTTTTTTATATTTTTTCTTAGATATATCCTATATCCTAACTCATAGAATCATCAAGGTTGTGGGTGTAAGCATAATAATGTGCCGCGGCTTTACACGGAGCAAGAGAAGGAACTGTGACTTGAAATTAGTAGAGCTTTTCTCAGTCAATTCATGTGAGTCAGTCGTTATTTTTAATCAATTTAGAATGTATCACGATAGTTGCTATTCAAAAATAAACGAATAAAGGAATGTTAGGATTCAGAGCTCAAGCAATTTCTCTATTACATACCTAGCTAGAGATAATTCGAGCAAAGATGCAGATCAAATCTATCCCATAAAAAGGAATAAATATATTCACGACTCCGGGCAAGTCATCCAATTGATGCCGAAGCATGGTTATCATATTGTATATAACAACAATGTCTACAGAAAATATGAGTTCGCATAATTAGTGAATACTACTACTAGCCTATGTGTTAATTTGTTAATCCAGGGTATCGCCTATCAACATACCAAATTTCAACGAAATCAGTCCATCCGTTTTCGCGTGAAAGAATCAATAAACATACATTCGAACATTCTCAACAACTTTTACATTTATAATATTACTGTAGGAATATTTATTTTATCTTAATCCTGCCTATAACACCTAAAAACAGCAAGCGTGACAATTGACCTACTTAATAAAGTAAGATTTAAGATACATTTCATATGTGCTTTTTCATAATAAATTGCAATCTTCATACCATCCTCCCATTTTTGGGGCGTAACGAATTGTAAATAAATATTTCAACCGATTCAGTTACGGGGATTAATGTTAAAAATATTATGGAAGAGTTTTTAAACCTATTGCTTAATACCGGACAGAAATCAAGACTTCAAAACGTGATCTGTAATCACTACATAGTATAAAACAAAGTCGCTTTCTCTGTCCCTATATCCCTATGTACGCTTAAATCTTTAAAACTACGCAACGGACTTTGATGCGGTTTTTCAAAAGATAGAGTGATTTAAGAGGAAGGTTTATAGGTATGTATAAAAAAGTCTGTCTGTCTATCTGTCCTTTCTTCACGCCTAAACTACTGAACCGATTTCTGTGTAATTTAGTACAGACATAGTTTGGAACTCGAGGAAGGACGTAGGATAGTTTTTATACCAAAAACCTGCAGGAAGTCACTATTCTACGCGAACAAAGTCGCGGGCAAATGCTAATAAAGACAAACAAATTTCTTCTTTACAATTAGCTAGATATAATCCGAAATTATGTCTATCGGCAAGTCAATGATTTTAGTTTTTTTTTAGAATATGATAGGACGACAAACTAGTAGATGGATTACCTGATGGTAAGCAATCGGCGCCGAGAAAGGAGAAGATATGAATGTTTTAAGAGATTTAGGGATTGGAGAGAAAGGATTGGGTCTCCGGGAACCCCGCGAAATACAACGCTATGGTTGTTTCACGCCGGTTATCTGTGATTTGTATTATGATCTATACTAATATTATAAAGAGGTAAAAATTGTAAGTTTGTAAGTTTGTGTGTAGGGGGTAATCTTTGGAACCGCTGGTCGGATTGCCAAAATTCTTTCACTGATAGATAGCTACAATACTCCTGAGTGCTATAGGCTATAAAGCATCACGCTACGATCTGAAGGAGCCGAGCAGAGGGTGAAACAGCGCGAGAGTAGCTAGTGTAGTGTAGCCATTTAGTCGTAGCGTGATGTTTTATAGCACTCAGGAACATTGTAGCTATCTATCAGTGAAAGAATTTTGGCATTCTGGCCAGCGGTTCTAAAGATTACCCCCTACATACAAACTTACAAATTTTACGTCTTTATAATATTAGTATAGATTTAGGGAACAAAGAGTCCCCTAAGATCGGAGAAGGTAGATCCTATGAGCAGATGAGATGATAAGGCTACTGACTGACAGTTTGTACGTTGAGTTTTTCAATCCGTGTGTTTATTAGCGTGCAAATTTCCTCTCGCGTGATGATCGATCGGTGACGCAATCTTTCAATTCATCGTAGAATATCTGTCTGTGGCCAGACACATACCAACCTAATGTAATTTGCATAAAAAATATAGGTATACGAGAACAATGCAAATACATGACATTCATTTAATATTTAATTGTTTAATAACTAATATTGATTCGGTATGTAGTTAAGGAATTCACGAATGCCAATAAATTTTTAATAACATTATAGTTAAAAATTTGACCTTTACGTAATTGTTACAATTAGTTAGCTGTATTTTTTTTTGTTTTTTTGTGGGTCACATAATGTGAAATTTTACTAAAGAATTTGTTAATTGTCTTTTTTTATGGTATAAGTCGGCAAACGAGCAGACGGATTACCTGATAGTAAGCAATCGGCGCCGCCCATGGACACCCGCAACACCAAATGAGTTACGAGTGCGTTGCCGGCCTTTTGGGGATAGGGGTTGCGGATAAAAGGATCGGGAAGGGATAGGGGAAGGGGAGGGATTAGGCCTCCGGTAACCTCACTCACACGGCGAAACACAACGCTGGGTTGTTTCACGCCGGTATTCTGTGAGGTCGTGGTATCACTCCGGTCGAGCCGACCCATTCGTGCCGAAGCTTGGCTCTCCCACACTTAAAATCAATTTTCGGACAATTTGCATTGATATGGTTATTTCTTTTATTATTTTTTTGGTATAAATATGTATAGCTATTTGCATAGGAATGCGTTTATTATTATTATTTCAAAGTCATTCGATTTATACTTTTACTGTCCTACATTTACGTAATATATACAGCCTTTTTTGTAAATAGTAGGATAGTTATTACATTGTTGATTTTTTTTTAAATATAGGAACACTGAATTGTGAAACTGGTTGAAAAAGAGTAACCATGGAGTTTCTTGCTCGTTCTTCTCTATAAGAATCTAAAATTTGGAACGAGCAAATAGCTTCACTAGGTAACTAACTTAAGTATGGGAGAGCCAGCACGACGGGAGTGAAACCACGGTTCCACAGAAAACCGGCGTGACACAATGCTTATAATTATCATGTTTCGTCTAGTAAAGTTACCGTTCGGCCCAATGCTTCCGTTATCACCAATCTCAAAATCTCCCGATCGTCAAACACCTAACAGCCAAAAGTCCACTCTTGAACTCGGGGATGTTGTGAATGACCTGGTGTCCATGGCTTTTGATTGCTTACCATCAGGATATCAAACTACTCGTTTGCCGATTTACCCAATAAAAAACGACAGACCTACATGAAACTATACTAAAGGCTCTGTTGAAAGTCAAACAGAAAAAAATGTGCGTGGGTCGGTCTGTCCTCTAGTGAAGCTATTCGCTCGTTCCAAAGTGTAGATTCCTATAAAGAAAAACGAGCAAGAAACTCCATGGTTACTCTTTTCCAATCAGTTTCTCAAACAGATTCTT